GCCTTAGGTTGCCTACCCCTGGTTTAGGGATTAACAAGCTGTGTGCTATGTCCCTCAAGTGAAGAGAAAATCCAGGAACTTCACCAAAAGAAACAATTACAGGGGAAGCTTTGAATGCTGCCCACCAGTATCTGCTGTTTGAAGTGACTTCATCTCTCTGCCCAATGTCAGTCCTGAATTATTTTTGTTTGCTTGCTTTGCCAGAAGGAGCCTGTAAACTACATCTTATGTCCTGGTGATGGGTTGGTCAAGCGTCCAATCTGCCCTCACTTATCACAGATTTCCAACCATAACATTGCTGTGAAGAGAAGCACTATTTGGATTACTTAGATCAGGGGTAGGCAACCTTTCCCCTTTAAGGGCCAAGGGACTTCAGCTCCCAGAATCCCAGGAGCTATTGGCCAACATGGGACTATTGGCCAACATGGCTGAGGCTTCTGGGAGCTGAAGTCCCTTGGCCCTTAAAGGGGAAAGGTTGCCTACCCCTGACTGAGGGCCTCGGCAGACGACTAATTGGGTCGTCTTGGAGGCTTGGAAGAGGAGGGGCAGCCGCACGTTCGGCGCCCCTTCCTCTCCCTGAGGTCGCCCTCGGAGTCGCCGGCCCTCCGCACGGCCGGCGCTCCGGGGGAGAACTCACGCCGCGGCAGCCGGACGCGCCGCGGCGGAAAAGACAGCGAAAGTGCGCCCGACGCTGATAGTGCGCACTTTCGCTGTCTTGAGGAAGGAGCGCTGATTTAGCGCTCCTTCCAGGGTCGCCGCCGGTGCGCCGAGGTGCGGAGGCTGCGGCCCCGCGGCGCGCCGGCCCAGGGCGTTTGGGAAGCTCTCGTCTGCTTCCCCCCTTAGATTCTGAGTGCAACTACACTGTAGAAATAATGCAGTTTGACACCACGTTAGGTGCTGTAGCTCCATTTTATGGAATCCTGTGATTTGTAGTTTTACAAGGTCTCTAGCCTTCCCTGTCAAAGAATGCTAGTGCTTCACCAAAGTACAAATCCCAGGATTCTGTAGGATGGAGCCATGGCAGTTAAACTACATTATTTCTACAGTGTCTGTTGATGCACACTTTGACTGCACCCAAAGACAGGCATTATTAACAACTATAGAAAAAATTCAGACAGGCAAGAGAGTAAGGAAGATGACTCTTGCTCTAGTAGGTTTTTTCCCCCTCCCTTACATCCTGATCCAGATTGATCCAAAGTGCAGACACAAATTTAAAGGAAAGGAAACAAGAAATCAAGGCAGTCAAATGAGTGTGTGCCTTTGTGGATGTTCACTATAATGAGTACAGCAGCCCTAGAGGAATAGGCAGTCCATACATGCATCAGAATTGCTGCACCTGTAAACTTTGCATTGCATACTTATAGCATCATATAAAATGGGAAACGATGATCTGAGAGATATTTACATCTGACACAGTTGTTTCTATGCAAGCAGTTAGTCCATGCAATAATACTGAAACAGAAATTATGTTTTATTAAATCTTTATAATCTGAAATCATTGAATAGAGACAGAATGCCAAGATTTCTTTCCCTTACTCGTTCTGTGTAACAACTCCAGATCTTTCACCATGAAGCAGGATGTGGAACTATTTCTTTTTGTCTTATTGTGATATAAACACAGCTGAATGAGATGCAATTTCTTTCAAAACTGTTTTCAGCCACCACAAGAATTGCTCCTTCTGCAGTCAAATCCAAGTAACATCTGCTCAGAGCAACCAGTCAATATTGAGGAAAAGTTCAAAGAATGAAGATCATTAGTAGTGTCAGCTTTACAAGCAGAAGGTAATGGCGTTAAAGTGAGCAAGGATAATACCCACAAATAGTGGCTTCATTAACCAGTGATTTATCATGATGAAAGACCTGTTTAACCTTTTGATCTCCACATGCTTTCTGATTTTAACAAAAAGCCCTATTATTTTGTGTTGTCAGATGATAATTTGTGAGTTGTTAAAGAAGTGAATTGAATTATTCTGAGAACAATTTATGCTCACTTTAGATTCACAGTGGGGTAATCCCAAAACTACATTAAAACATATTCCACATTTGCTATTTTATATATATATATAAAATCTGCTTTATGGTTAAAAGATCCTCTTCTTTTCAAAGTGCCTTGTAACAAATAAAGCCAGCATCCAAAGATAATACTCAATCTTTTTCCAATCTAATTTAAGCTTTTAAAACTATATAATAGCCTCCTTTCTCTTTCTGTCTTATTTTACTGATACACACACTTTCCTTTCTCTCTTTTTGTTTTTATTTCTCACTCTCTTTTCTCTCTCACACACTCAATCACTCTAAATTAAATTTGGTTAAGGGGACCCTTATGATATGTGGATGGGCCATTTCTTAATGAACTTTGGCACTGTGGCCTAAGTCCAATTGTTAGTTGTAAAAAGAGTAGACCCATTAAATCAATTGGTCTTATGTAAGTGATGACTTACCAATTTCCTGCTGACTCAGTAGGTCTTCTCTAGTTGTGACTAATAAAGGTTGTCTATTCAGTTCACAGAATCATGGTATGGTACAATTAAAAAAAAAAGTCTCAGTTGGCTCTGATAAAAACAGAAGAAGCCCAGATCAAGTCTAATAATTAGAGAGTAGTTTGCTTTATCTCAGCTATTTGGAGCCAGCATGGTATAGCAGTTTGAGTGTTGGACTATGACTCTAGAGATGAGGGTTCGATTCCCCACTTCTGGTGGACCTTGGGCAAATCACACTGTCTTAGCCTCAGATAACAGCAATAGCAAACCCCCTCTGAAGAAATTAACAAAAAACAAACAAACCCTATGGTAAGTTTGCCTTATATGTCAAAAATGACTTGGAGGCACCCAACAACAATAACAACATCTCAGCTATTAGCCTCCTGTCACTGATCCTAACTAGTTGTTGCTTTGATTTGGGATGGGCAAATGCATGAAGGGGCAGTTTTTATCCCTGCAGCAAGCTCCATTGCCCATTTTTTTGGCTGAAAATCAGTTGAAAATTGTAACTGAAAATGACTTCCAGTTGTGATTTTTCTAATAATTTTGGGGGTGGGGTGGGCAAGGATTGTGGGGATGTTTCAAGCTAATCCTGGTGGCTCCTAGGAGTAGTAATTGACATTTTTAAAGGGTTTTTTCTACCTAGAGTTTTTGAGGGTATGAATCTAGAGATGGTCCATGCAACCCTGAGGAATGCAAAAAAGTGGTTGGGGCCATATGCTGCAGTCTTAAACATGTGGGCAAATTCTACTGGTAGGGTTCCCAGGTTATAGAGCCTAGTCCTACCTCCCTCATCCTCAGGGTAAAGGGAAGGAACATTATCATGAGGACATCATTTTGAAATGTACATATCTATGTCTATGGGTAAACCTACACTGTAGAAATAATGCAGTTTGGTAACACTTTAATTGCCATGGCTTCATCCTACAGAATCCTAGGATTTATAGTTTGTGAAGAACCAGCACTCTGGCAGAGAAGGGTAAAGACCTTATAAAACTACGGATTCCAGGATTTCATAGGATGGAATTACGGCACTTAAACTGGTTTAAAAGTGCATCATTTCTATGATGTAGATGCATCCTATGTGTTCTTTTCTTCCTCACACCATGATATAGAATGCTTTGGGGGCAGCAACTGTAGATTATTTAGTATTCAGACGGTAGTTGTTGTGTCTTCCAGTTGTTTCCAAGTTATGGCAGCCATCAGGTTTTCTGGAGCTACAAGTGTGTAACTCAGCCAAGGTATCTCAATGGGTTTCCATGGCTGAGCGGGAAATTGAACCCTGACTTCCAGTCTGATGCTCAGACCACTATACCATGCTGGCTCTCAATCTATGCCATCTAGGGGTTTAAAGGTCATAAAGAATACTTTGAATTGTGCCTGGAAACAAACTTGTAGCAAATGTAGTTGTTTCAGCGAGAGTGTTATATGTTCCTTCTACCCAACCTTGGTCAGCACTCTGGCCACAGCATTTTGAATTTGCTTCAGGTTCCAAAGGCAGCTCCATGTAGAGTGTGCTTCAGTAACCCAAACAAGAATGTGTCTGCATAGCCATTTCTAACATCTCTAGGAACAGATGGAACTAGCATGCTAGTTTTAATTGTGCAGATACATTCCTGGCCACTACTAAAACCAAGGCATAAAGCCTCAGGGCTGAGTCCAGAAATACACCTAAGTACACCCATCCAGTTTCTCAAGTTGGTGTCATGATTGGCAGTTACTACATCACAACTTTTTAACTTTTTTCATGAGGCCTTTTGGTTTCTCCCCACAGCAAATGGCAACAACAGCAACTAAGGGCC